CCACTGTCTCTGGTGAATCCTCTCACCCCCTCACACCTCTGGCCTACACTCTAATTCTTCTACGCAAAAACATTTAAAAAAAGATAAATTTTGTTTTCATGCTAATCGTTAGCTTAGTGTGTTTATGTTAACCTTTATGTTTTTCATAAACATGAAGTTAAGATGGACTTCAGAATACCTCCTTCTGTGTTCTGGGTTACTCTGTAATAAGAACAGTTTTAGGAGACTGGATTTTTATGCTCTGCCTGTTTTAATTCCCTCCTCTTTAAAGAAAAGCAAAAGGTGTTACTTGAAGGTGATGTTTTTTCTTTTCTTTTCTTTTCTCTAGTAAGCCCTAAATACAGTAACCTTTATCACTTCCTAGGAAAAAGGCCAGCTTTCATAAAAATAACATGACCTCATTTGTGGGTGGTGTATTTTGTAATACCAGATTGGAGAGCTACACTCCTTCCTCTCTCTCTCCCCGCCCAGACTTGGGCTGTCTCCTTCCTTTCTTCTTTACTTTTCTCTCCATTTCATTGGAGCCAGAGTTGCTGAGCACAATTATGTAGTTAATTCTCTTCTTTCTTCGATTCCTAAGATTCCTTTGATTCCTAAGATTAAAAACCAGTGCATTCTAATTTTCCTCATGTTACTTTTTTTTTCATTCTTGTATCTCACAGCATTTTTGTTAATCCTACATTTTAGTGATGTGTCTCAATTTCTATTAAATACACAGCTTATATGAGGTTTACTCATATGTCTATCAAGGGAAGGCACTTCATTTGAATAGGGTAACAAGTGAAGGAAAAACGTGTACTTGGGGATCTGTGGTCCTTTGTAAATTATTCAGTTTTCTTTTTAAACACAAATGCTTTTAATTATTTTGTTGCAGTACCACTGAAACAATCAGCTGATATTTAATTTTTTTAAACTTTCAATTGAAACTTTCATTAAAACTTTTTTTGACAGTTAACATAAATTATAAAAATACAATGAACATGCTATATGTTAGATTCCACCCCCCCCCATTACAATTACCGGTTTAAAAATGTTCTTAAAAATTTTTTCTTTTAATTGACAAATGCTGTTAGATGAAGGTATGAGACCTAAGTGATGCACTGAGGGGACTTCCATAAATTCATGTAGAGCTAGTTTTGTTAGCCACTGTATTTCCAGCACTCAGCCGACACCAGGTTTTCAGTAACTGTGCAAGTTTATCTACCCTCATGCCTCCCAAACCCTCAGGTACTTCAACTCAGTTATTACTGACTTCTCCAACTCTTCTACTAGCTGTTGACCCTCAGTCAAATGAACTTGTCCTTTAAGCATGCTTGGTAAGTCAGTGGGACACACTTTTTGCTCATCCAGTACTTTGTCACCTGTCCTCTGTCCTGACTTTGTACTTTAGTCAAACTGGAGCCGTCTTAGAGAACTGAGAGGGGACACAGAAGTCCAAGCTCTGACCTTTGCCAAAAGTCCTTATTTCCAGAGATATAATTTCCCTATAGTTTATTTACTCCTTCCTGAAGCCAGCACCTGTATATGTAGACTAACCTGAGAGGTATGGAAATTACATACAGTTCTGCTCAGTGACAGCTTTGAGCTCACCAAGTCCTGCAATAGATTGTGGTCAAGGGACATTATTTCCATATTAGGCCAACTCCATTTTGAATTTGGAACAAAGCCCAAACGTGTGGTTGTATATTGGGAGGTAATTGTGGCCTCTTTTGTGGTCTGATTGTTAATGAAATTAAAAAAAAAAAGCATTTAATGATGTCTCCTAGATATAAAGAGCTATTTTAATAATAAACACAAAATATACAGAATGAGAATTGGAACTTCAGAGAACTTTGGATGTCATCTATAGCTTTATGCTTACACTACAGTGTTTTATTGTGCTGACCTTAAAACCCAGAAGAGTAAAAATAATTTCAAAGTGGCTTTAAGGGGTAGTTAATGTGTAAGATTCTATGACAAAGAAATGTTTTCCCCTATATAGGATTGAAGAATGGTGTTATTTGCATTACATTGAGTATTCTAATCAGTCACAGCATTAAGAGACCAGAATATAAATCGTGATCGCTACAAATGGGTACCCCGTAATCCAACTATTTTTGGATCCCTTTTCAGTGAATGCAGTTAACACATGAAACGTGTCAGAATTCACCACTGGAATAATCTTCAGAAAACAAGACAAAATATGCTGAACAGCTTTCTTACAGTGAAATTACCATTTTCCTCAGATTAAAAATTTAAGAACATTAAAAACATTGCATAATAGCGAGCAGTAACCATTTACTGATTATATTCATAACATACGATACTCTATCCTTGTTTCTAAATTTAACTCATCTAGAAACCTACATTAATATCCAAAATGGTCTATAGGGTTTTGGCAGGATTTAATTTAATCTAAAATAGTAACTTCCAAGAAAAGTTACATACACAAGATTTCAGAATAGAAATCTAAAAATTGCCACTCAGATCCAAGAAAATACGAATTGTTGTATTATGGTTTTAGGATATCACTTACCCAATTTTGATGGTCTAGATTCACATGGCTTAAAAATACAGTGTTAAGGCCCTCCCTGGTGGCGCAGCGGGTTAAAGCACAGCACTGAGAATCTAAAGCC